TCCAATTGTCGACGGATTTGTGCACAACGATAGGCCTGTTAAAGTCTGCGTTGACAGCGGTGCTTCATGTAGGCACGAAAACGAGCCCATGGAACGGACAAGAGCGCATCGAAGTCCCCGGTCGCAAGCTTGAGCCAAAAAGTGGAACAATGCTGGACATCACTGTTGGTGCCACACAAACCCAGCTTCCCAACACAGTTATTGCACCACTGCCAGCGCCTTTGGATGCGATACTGGGTTCTGACTGGCGCCAACAAGCCAATGTTGATGTGACGTTCCACTCATTGAACGATGTCACAATCGTGCAACTACCGAACGACAACAAGCAATCCGCACATGACATGCGCGATTTTAAGACACCTACGCATCCCAAAGGCAGAACCGCAGAGACATTGATCGTTTCATTCTGAGAACGAGAAGCTACTACACCGACCGACTTCGAAGACACAAAATACGTAAGACTCCACACGAAACAAGAGACTCCAAACAAAAAGTTGCTTCAGGACATTGACGAAGCGGTGTCAGAAATGACAAAAGATTCGACACCCGAAGCGGACAAACTACGGTGTATTCTCACACGGCACAGCAAAGCCTTCGTGACAAATGGAGAATTGCTCGGATTTCGCCCACACGCCGAACACTCCAAACACTCCATCGATTTACGGGACGACATACCAGTCGTTTCCCGAGCATACAGGTGCTCCCCAGTGGACAGAGACTTTATCCACAATCAGGTCGACGACTACATCCAAAAGGGAATCATAGAGCTAAGCGAGAGCGAGTATGCCGCACCGACGATTGTTGTGGATCAACCGCATCACCCAACGACTCCGTGAAGGATGGTTCACGACTACAGGGAACTGAACGCGAAAACTGTGAATCTGTCCTATCCCATGCCCATCATGGTGGATGTGAGGGCAAGGAGCAATGACAGTCAAGGAAGCACTAGAACTTCTCGACTCAGCTCTCGACAGAATTGTTACCAACGGACTGAAAATGGACATGAAGTAATGCCAGCTCTTGCGCGACGTCACTTTCCTCGGATATGAAATATCATTGGACGAACGCACGCTTGACCAAGCTCGAGTAGCCGCAGTCGACAAGTTTCGACCACACGTGAACGCCAAGAAGCTCTACTCAATCCTACAGTTTGCCAACCACTACCGTATGTTCATCCCCATTTTCTCAGCACGTACTCGTATATTAAGAAATCTTATCGCCAGAGAGACACCTTTTGTATGGACGCATGACCACAAAGATGTGGTCAGCACTTTGAAGCACACTCTCAAACACCTTCCAATTTTCGCGAGCTTCCAACCAGACTGCCCGACGTGTGTGCTCGTTGGCTTATGCCAGACCGGCCTCGGAACCATACGCAGTCAGTTGCAAAACGGCAAGGAACGGGTGACTGAATACGCAAGCCGATGGCTGAACAAACACGACACCAACCTTCACTCCAACACGCTCGAATGCATGGCGCTGCATTAAGCAGTGACAGAGTTCTCTATGGGGTGGACCGTGTTTCACAGTGTTTACAGGCAACTTCAGCGTGGCGTATTTGGCACTAAAGGGAGCAACGAATCACCAATTCGCTCGATGACGCTGGACCTTGCTGAATACACTTTTGACATTGTTCACAGGCCAAAAAGATTGAACATGGCAGCAGATGCCCTTTCACGACAGGGAGAAAGAGAGAGTATGCCAGGAGACATCCTCAAAATGGTACCGGAAGGTCAAGGGTTGGCATGCTACGTTATCGTAGCAGGAGATCACAGTCACCTAAGCAACCTGCAGGCAAGGGACGCAGAATGCTAGAAGTTAAAGTCAGTGGCGAGCGATGGAAACAGCCCATACAACAAGAACGACGTCCTCACAAAAGAAACCATGAAGGAAGGACGCATCGTAAAAAGAATTGTTGTTCCCGCCACGCTCCAAGAGTCTGCGATGACGATTTTTCATGACAACTCGGGACAGATGGGAACGGAAAAGACGAAGGAACTCATCCAACGAAAGTACTGGTGGCCGACCTTGCTAAAAGATGTGCGTCGTTACGTAAAGTCCCGTCACATGTGTCAGACGATTTACGCGTGCACGACAATGAGCAAAGGCTGCTTGAGTGTAAAAGAATGCAAAAACGGCATGCTTTTAAACTGCCACATAAAGCGCTCATCAAACTTATACAGAACACACAAATCGTTTTTTTCTTATGGTAACACTACCCTGGAAGAAGTTGAACCATGGCTTATTCACGTAGCTGGTTCACATGGCTTGTTGAGTGCCACGTCACAAAACCTTTTCTCAACTGCCACCAGGATGGCTCTGCCACGAGAAAGACACAGTTTCTGTGTTTCATTTAAACTTAATGAGCGCTATAAGTACATTCTGTACAAGCCATGTGTGATGATGACCAGAAGATTGGCCCAAAATGAGCCAAATGGAGGGACTGCCTCCGCTTCTCAGAATATGCAAGTGTATGTCAGCCTTTAAATGAAATTGAAAGGATGTAAGGCAACATTTCCTTTTCCCAACAGAAAGTACCGCCACACCAGCTACAGCCAGCTTGCACACTGGCTTTGGGGACGGCTGGGAAGGAATCGCAGGAGGGTCCTCCCTGCCTGTGCTGTAAATAGAATAAGGGAAAGATTTCCGTCAGAAGGCTACACTGGCTTCCAATATGCTTACAATTTGTAAAGTGTTCATCAAATTATTATGCTGTTCAGAAGCTGTTGAAAGGGGAAATTGTAGTGTACCGTAAAATTCCGAGCAAAAGCAACCTTTCCGCGCCGTTCCGGGAAAGCGCCCCCTCCCCACTCCGCACCCGTATCATGCACCGTGCAGACCGCACCTAGGCAACACTGGCCTGCGAAATCCAGTCCAACAATCCAATCCAATACTACTTTGCAGCCTGATCAGCTCGGTTGCAATGCGCCATTGTCGCTTCGTTTTGGCGGTGTCAGTTCGGATATGCATTCTTACACAGTGGCCGTGAAAACGGGAAAAACGTACACCAGACGTCTCGACATATCAAGCTCGTCTGGATACGGGAATGGGACAAGAATTTTGACAATTTGCTACAGCCAAACTACGGGAAAGTCAAACTTCGACGAAAGCTAAGTAACGGCACGCCGGTGTTCAGTAAAAAATTGGACGATGTGCCCTTTGAATACCTGGAGCACGAATGAAGTGCAGAAGAGCCATAAGCAACCGGCTTCTTTCGCTTTTTTCTGAAGAGGCTGTCAAAATAGCCAACGGCATGCAGTTGGGAAACGTTGCAGAATGCCGTGAACTTTTTCTTGCGATCGACTCTGAGGAGTCTTTTGGTGGTTTTGAAAGTGATTAATATAGCAGTGACAAATCTTTGGCCTAATAAAGTCTATGTTCTCAAAGATAAATAAAATATTAAATCCATGTGCAATGCGCTTTTCTATTTTTCTGGCAGAAAATTTTTTTCGTTGGCTGCTTGAATTTTGGTGCCGTTCCAGGATAGCCCCCCCCCCCCACACACTTTGCAGGTAATTTTGACTTGTGTGCAAAGGGGGGCACTTGCTCGGAATTTTACAGTAGTTAGATTGTGCAGTTTGAGAATGTGCATTGGTTAATTGAAGCCTTTTGCAGGATGAAAGACTATAGTCCATGTGTTATTTGGCAGTTTGTTTTTTCTTCTGGAACATGGAACTAAAGTACCAACAGCCATTGGATGGCCAGAAAAACATGCTTTTCGTGTGAGGGTTGTCAAAATATCAGGCACTGGAGAAAATCAGCTATCTGCATTAAGTCGCCATTTTGAACTTTTTTTGTTCATGCATGACGAAAGAGCCCAAGTATGCACCCTCAGCGTCGACTTCCACAATGGTGCGTCTGACTTTGGCTACGTCTGCCATTGCTGGCTTTAGATGCTGCGTTTACGTGCCCCTCTATAAAGAAGACGCTTTGTTGTCATGGTGACATGACCATAGCTGAGGGAGTTCGTTGTCAAGGAGAATGGGGTGTGGCGATATTTTAACAAGCATTACACGAAAAGCATGTCTTTAGCTCGCAGTTAGGACAAAGTTTCTTGTACTGCAACCATATTTAATTGAGTAGAAAAACTTCTATCCAGAATATTGGCTGAAAAATATTGCATTTTAATTTGATTTTCATGTGCAGTCTTCTAATTGACATACTTCTTTCTAAATATGTGAGGAGGAACGGAATAAGAATTAATTGAATGTTTTGAATTTGTGAAGTAGGTTTTGTAATGTAAGATTTTTCTAGCTTCTACCATGTTTATGTTTGAGAGGAAACTTGTCAGTCACAATAAATTGTTCTGAAAGTAATATGTGTTCTTGTCATCATTGATAAACTAATGCCCGTGATATTGAAACAGGGGGCATTATACCCCCCCCCCCTCTCTTTCAATCTCAGCAGTGACTAATGGTAGGGAGAGTGCCCACCTGATCTAGAGGGAAGTCCTCCCTGAGCCAGTGGCAAACCTTGACCTCCTTGTCGCCACCAGTTCGGCTTTTGAAGGCCCGGGGAATGAAAGGCTCATGGGGGGTGGGGCGTCAGATTTGTTCGCTGCAAAGGCAATCTTAAAAGACCGCCACAGTTTGCAGCACTTTTCAGTTTCTGAGAGCAGCAGGTCAACATAGTCTGAAATAGAAATGGTGCACATACAGTCGTTTGAGTGCATGCATTCTCTTTGCACAAAACATGTAACACCGGCTAAAAAATGCACTTTGTGTGAACAAAAAGGGTGTAGTAAAGCAGTCTCTGTGGGCCCATGCACTCTCCAGAGTTATCTGCTAGCCTTCATTACCAAACCTGCAGATGCAAGTAGTAAATATTTTGGATATAGTATTGTTTTTGAGTTCTGATACTGGGATGCTAGGGACCCAAGGGATCCCTAGGACGTCCTTATCCAAGGAGAACTCAACTTCTAATTCTGTTGATGACACTTATATGCAGAATTGAACGTATTCATCCTTTTAGATATAAAAATGAACGGGGTACCCGACACACTACTTACTGTATGTAGGCTCAGCTTGCTTGGGACGGACAACCTTCACTCCCTTTCTGGATTTCGGATGTTTGATCTTAAATTGCAGAGATCCGTCAGCCGAGACAGCTTGCTCCGTGTTGGCATTTTCGTTGAAGTGCAAGATGGCGAGTTGTGTTCTGAAATGAGAAAAATAACACCAGGATCCTTGTAAATATGAATGCTCGTGAATGAGTTTGTTCATAACTTGCCTCGCACGCATGCCATCAGATGAGAAGCACACAGACTTCGGGGCGAACCCGATCAGGACGCTGTGGAAGGCTTCGAGGCTGAAGGTATGAGTTGAAGGGGCTAGTTGCCGAATGTCCTTGAGGAGACGCGGTGCCATCGTCACTTCCACAAACTTGTCATGTGCACGGGTACCTGTATTGTTGAAATGGGCAAGCTTTCCAGACAGGTTTTTTCTAAAATAGTTATCTTATTTTCTGCATACTTGCAGAAAAAACTACTTTTTGTCGACAGAGCCGACAAAAAGTAGGATGACATCGAGAGTATCGAGAGAGGGGACAGTATTCATGCTTTGTCAAAGTGTTGACTCTAACGCTGTCTCAATCTCCCGCCTTGCTCCTGCTGTCCTGCTCCCCGGCACTGGCAGAGGTTAGACAGAGTGAGAACTATATTTCCTTTCTCTGGAAAGTGGTGAGCAAGAATACCACAAAATATATATATACAGTGCAGTCCACTTATAGCGATACCACTTATAACGATATATCGGTTATAACGATCGATTTTATAGAAGCATTAATTTTTGCATTGGTTCTATGTAAAAATAAACCATATATAGCGATGCATCTTTCCCGGCATATCGGATACAACGATCAATTAATGATCGCGTAGAATGTGTTTACTACGAAAATTCAACAGAAAATGAGATAAAAATTGTGAAATTACGCGAAGAAACGACCGAGATCGGCGGACGCGATCATCGCCGATTGGCCCCGACCGAATACTCCGTGAGTAGGCGCTGCGCGCGGCCTTAAAACCTCGGCGCTATCATCATCATCATACCCGTAACCTCGTAACCCCTCCCCGCCCTCCTCTTCCCCGCGTTGCTGGCATGAAAGATGGCTCGACGAAGCGAAAAGCTATCTCCCTCAAGGAGAAAAAGCAAATCCTACATGATTGGCGGCAAGGATTCAAGGTCGGAAGTCTCGTCCGGAAGTATGAGCACTCTCAGTCGACGATATCGACCATCCTGAAATCCGGGGACGTCGTAATGAAGAAGGCTGGAACAAGCGGCTTTGACGACCAGCGGGAAAGGCTTAGGGAAGCCTTGTACGAGCTGTATGCACACCGCAATAGCTCCAGCTGCCGCACAAGCAAGCGGAGATCTTGGATTTTTTTTAGCGTGTTTGACACCATTTCATTGCGTGCTTGCTGATGACCCTACAATGAAACTTTGTTATACTGCGGCGCTTCTTCTATGGTGTGATTCAATGAACACTGGTGAGTGACCTTCCGCTTGGGGGAACTATTTTGGGCAGTTTTCAGGGTCAGTCCGGATACAACGATAATCGGTTATAACGATCGCATTTTTCGCATTTAATAATATTGTTATAAGTGGACTGCACTGTATATATCTATCTCTTGGATTGTTTAGCATGGTATGGGGGGGGGTGGCAAAATTGAATTACCTCAAGGGAGGAAGGGGAAGAGGAGGCCTCCCCTCCTCCTCCACAGGAGCTGCGCTCTAATTCGGCATTACAGGGAGTTGTAAACGTCTCATTTTTAGGTTGAAATTATAATCAGTGACATGCTGACGGATTTTCATTGTGGTAGCAAGAATGTCGCCTGAGAAATATAGACCCACTGCACCAGCAGGCATTATACTTTATTTTACTACAAGTGCAAATGAAGCTGAAGATATATAAGGTGCACATGTTGACTTGAGCAACAGTTTTGTTTGCACAAGCATGCATGCATAGCATAGCACACTTAAACTGCAGTACCTAGTCTCTTATCTGCTGTTCCTGATACAATTATACCTCCTTATGCTTGGGCTATGTGAACATGTAACAGTCCACACATCATTTTAGCATACACCACACAATTGTTTCAGAAAAGGACAAATTACTGCTGCCCTGAATTTTTCTGTAGTTGGATATGTAAGCTAAAGTATACCTATACTTTTGTTCACCATAAAGCGGATGCCAGTGGGCACTACGAGCTATCAGGGTCAATTAAGTGCTGAGACTGTGCCATGTAACTTTCATCGTGGGTGCGGTGACGTGCAAGATGTGAGGTTGTGTAGCACTGAAATGGCTTACATGACACATAGCACCAGTTGTGATCGATCTTGGTGGAAAGGCAGTAAAATTGTTAGTAATAATGAGAGCGGTGAATACGAGGCATTTGCCAGAAACACTTTCAAGTTTAAATTTATTAAACACACTCACCAGGAACTAGCCACTCCCTTTCTCCAATGTCCTCATGAGCACAATGCGTGTAGAGCCCTGGATGGTCAGCGTGCTTGTTAGCAACGTGGTACTGCACACTCTTCCACATGTCGAGAAGTAGCTCCTGGTTGCCATCGCTCAGGGCAGCACACCAGAAGAGGTGATTGCTGGCAGGCTGAATCCAAACCTCCAGCACGCTGCACCCAGCTCGCTTCGCCTGGGCAGCCAGCTTCTTCTTGATGCCTGTAATGAATGTCGAATTGGAAGAATATTACATTTATAATATTTATTCTTTATTTTTTTCAGGGCTAAATGTTACTGGCTTTATGAATATTGAAAAGCAGCTGTGTTTGTTCTATGTTTATTGTAGAAAATGTTTCGGAAGATATACACCGCATTCATATAAAAATGCAAATGCATAACATGTTTCCAGAGCTCGGCTGAGCAATACCCGAGAGTATGTTACAGCTTTGATCAGTGCTCGGAATACGGGGATGCATGAACACCCATAGATTTGACTGCATACACTGCATAGCCACATAAAGGTGTTTGTATAATCTGAGTGGTCCTGATATCTGCTATTAATAAAGAATTAGCCACAAATCCCTGCTTGTATTTTCAGTACCTTTTGAGATGTGCCAGCCATCGAAATAATGTCGGATGGTAGGTTCCTCCGTGCGCATGTGCTTTGCAACTTGTATGTGCCGGTCCGTTGTCATGGACACAACGCTCAGCCTACGATCCTTCACTTTCTCGAGACATTTGAGGAAAGCATGTTTCTCCATGGAGGTGCTGGACTTGACTTCTGCGCACTTTTGGAGAGGAGGAAAACTTGGTTATGTAACAAGGCCAGACTGCTATAGTAGCTGTAGCTCACCTCCCCGACTTGCACCTGCTCGAAATGTAGAATTTTGTTGAGTTGAGCAGCGTGCAGAGAATAGGTCATGTATTTGGCGGAGAATCCGGGTGAGTCGCACCGCCCATCGCCAGCAAGGTCCACCTCCTGACCTTCCAGCTGAAGAAACAGCTCCTCTTGTTGTTCTCGCCAGATCTGGTTGAGACATAGGATTTTTTTATGAGGTTGCACAAAAGCACACAGCACAGCTCATAAGACAACTCCATTTGTCCACACTCTTATTGCAAGGACAAGGCCATCTCTCAAGACAAGTTACCACAGAAACTGTAAATTCAAAATAGGAAAAGGTATAACATGGTTTAAAATCAGCACAGACATAGTTGAAATTGAAGACTATTTATCGGTAGAGACCTACTCGCACATAAGAGCGAATTACAAGAACTAGAGAGAATGGTAGTGGCATGTCTTGATAATGTGGTGACTGATTTTTTTGGTGGTACAGTGATGTCTCGTTAATATGGGAACCTCTATTCCCCTAAAAAAAGTTTCCATAATCCGAGTTATCCACAATAACAAGACAAAATTGCATGTATTTACCCAGTTCATCCCCGAAAATGTTGTGTATATAGCGAGGCATTCATATCAACAGGGGAGTACAAATAACCCATAACTGTGCACAGCCTTGCTTTTTACCTTGTTAATTGCAGGGAGCAGGTAGCCTCTTTGGTAGTTGTAGAAGGTCCGAAGCGTGAACACCTGAATGTTGATGTGCTCCAGTGTTCTGAGCACGCTGGTGGGGCTGGCGCCGGTGAAAAGTATGCCTGCTGACACCAGCACGTTGCCAGCTGCCTTGCCGTTCATTACGGGCTGGCTTCTCCATAGGAGGCAGTGATTCTTGGCACAGAGCGTCTGCACCTTGAGCATTGTGCCAGACACGCGAGATACACTTTGGCATGGTGCGTAGCATGTCCGGCACACCTTGAAGAGCTTTTTGAGACTGCTCTCAAACACAATGAATTTGCGGTCCTTTCGCGGTGAGGCCTCTTCAGTGCTGTTGTCAAGACTGGAACAGAATTAGTGCATTGGAATAACTGTCATGACAACTATTTTGCTTAGTCATTGGGGACTATAATTTAGAAAAATAGAGGGCAACAGTAAAAGTCAGAGCCACCCAGGTAGGTAGTTTGTCTTCTGTGTTTCCGTTTTTTTTTAACTGTAACTTGTCATTAAAGCCAGTTCACAAGATATACTTCCGGTACGTAGTCTCCCAAGAATCCATGCTGGGGAGACAGCATGGAGGGCAGTTTTTTCCTGCTCACACAAGTTCCTTTGGTTCTTGATTGAGTGCATTCGTTGGAGTAGCCAGAGACACAGAGAAGCATTGAGTGGCACTCAATTTTCATACTGGTCAACTGCCCTTGGGATTTGAGAGAAGCTTGTGCGTGAACAGATGGCTTGTCGGCAAGGAAAATGCTACCGCAAGAAACACTGAGGGCAACTCTGAAGGAAGATAAATTGAAGCAAGTGAGAGTTAGTGTGAGCCAAATATAGTATTGTTCTTCTTGACTGCCGTCATTGGCAGAGTCACTTGGCATGCTCTCGAGATTTATCAAAACTGAAAAGGATGCTAATGAAGTACCACTTGTGTGCTGATGAATACAGCACATGCAGAAAGAGGTTTACCAGCCTTTCTAGACTATAAAATGGTGCATCGTGAAACTAACCTATATGTAACTGGCGTCAAGTCAACCTAATACCTTCTTGAAATTCCAGTCTACTCTCTTACCAATTTCATTTGAAAAATATATTAAATCAGGAAGTGGCAATTGCTGGTGACCTTTTGCTTAAATAAAACGAAAATGGTAATCTATGCTTGCTTCAAGAAAGGCCACAACTGACTGGTGGCTATAATTATGTTTCATGTTTTCGCAATATGGGCGGAAAAACCCGAAAATTAACTCCTTAGCCGATTTTATCCTACATTAGACAATAACAGGAAAAAACCCAGCTTTCAGCAAGGAAATCTAGCCACAGCTGTATGTTGTGCGAGCTCAGAACAAAAATCCCACAAAACTGTCCAGAAGACTGCTTCTTCAGGAACCACTCACATCATCTCATTCCCTTCTCTGATTGGAACAGATTCAATTCCATGTATTCAATCAAGCACACATTCCCTGGAACTGAATGAAAATTGTCACACTGAATACCCAGGAAAAAGACCACCCTCTAAAAATCCCCCCCCCCCCCCCCCCGAGCTAAGAAAAAGAAAAACAGAAATGAATATTTATTTATAAATAAGAGCACTAGTACACAGCAGGAGATATAGATAATGCAAATGCGCAGGTGCCTATTTTTCAAAGAAAAAATATCATGAAGAAAATAATGTATTTTTATAGTTTTTATAGCGAATGTGTCACTCACCTCAGTGATTGACACATTCGCAACGCATTATTTGGAAGTACACAAACCATGCAACGATTGCATAAAGTAGAAAGAATTACCCCACGAAGGTCTCGTTGAACGATGGGAAAAATTCCGAGCACTGCTCAACTTCATCCTCCGAGCCCTCTTCATCCTCCGAGTCTGAGGCATCAGATCCCACGGGGCTGGAAGTGTGCTGTGGACCCTCGAAGACGAGTGGGATGGGAGAGGGCATTCGTTCAGCCAGGGGAAGAACTGAAGGAGGTGGTGGGGGAGGAGGAGGAGGAGGAGGATCTGCAGTGCAGACAGGGGCAGTACTGGCAGTGGTCCTGTCTTCAGTCTGGACATGCACGTCTTTCCTTGCACAAGCAGTAAGGTTTGTCTGTGTATCTAGAAATAAATAAACAATCAAGATTAAAAATCATGTCATGCTTAAAATGATTGAACCATGGAATACTTAATGACAGAACCCTCTACTCCCAGAGTTTCCAGTCTGCCCGGGCATGTCAGCACAACTTACAGCATAAGTAAATCTATGTCACAATTAAACCAACTCATCCCCCACCAGAAATTTAACCAATAAGCTTTCGATCCCCAGCCCAATGGTTTATCTCTGTGACAGCAAGACGACTCGCGATGTGCACTGGCCTTGGCTCCTACTACAATTATCACAAGTCCCTGCTCAAAGTTCATAGCAATCTTTTAGGGGGGGTGATAGCAACTATAGTCACTGACAGCCTAAGAAGGGATTCATTCTATCGCCTAATGTCACATTCTGACTTGGCTGCGGAGTAATAATAAGCTTTAGTCTGTTCTAATCACATTTAAACAATTGCGCCTTCAATAATGTATTGGATACATGCATTATAGGATTTAAGGGTTGTCGCCAACATTGTAGCTCTGGGCTGTTGATCAATTAAACTACAAATTAATTGACTAATGCTTTAGTCGCGATTAATGATTTTAACCAATTAACTTTTAACAAAAAAAGGTAAAAATCCAACGCTTTCACCACGCAGAGGACAAGCACACCTGTATGAAGTCAAACTTTAGGGAATATTTTGACCTAAACTAAACTGTAGGGGCAAGATATGCAAGTCTAAACAAATGGAGGTCATGTGCGTCCTAGCCACTTTACGAGTGTTTGTTTAGCGTAGCAGACTATTGTGAACAATCAAATGAGTTTGCTATTGCCGGAGAATATCGACGAACCTCGTTGCCTCCGCGGCTGAAGTAATAAAATTTGTGGCTGTGGGCGACTTTTGACTTTTTTCTGCTACACATTAAGGTTGATTTAAAATTCAAAATTGTATATTGCACCACTTATAACATATGCAGCAAGTAGCAAAGGAAAAAAAATAATTTTGACTTTTTTAGAAACCAAATATGCATGGTAATGAACAAACCGATTAGGGGGTAGCAATTAATCGGATTAAAATTTTTAATTGACTTTCTTCTAATCTAGATCACATTCACTAGATCTGAAAGTTGCGTATATTTTATAGTAATTTCCGTCATTTATGCAAATTGTTTCGGGGCACTCTACGTTCATCACTAAATAAACAGGCGCGTTTGGTTGTCTGAATTTATAATAATTTATGGATTACGTCGCAGTCAGCTTGTAACGAGAAAGTCATTGCACCAAAGCAAATAGAAAAGTCTTACACCGCGTTTGCACGTCGCCTCCGTCAGTCTGGCAAGAAGCCGTAACGACGTTTCTTGTTGTTTGTGCCCAGCCGTCAACCATTCGGTGCGAAGTTGACGCTTCGACGACCACGTCTACAACGTCCGACCATTCGGAGGTGTCCTGTGATGACAAAATATACCAAACATTGTATTACAAACTGGAACATATTTCACTATTACACGTCATACAAGCTTACCTCAGACCTTCTTCGTTTTCTGGGCGGCGCGCTGAACCACAGATTCTGCGTTGGCACGGCGTCTGACTTGAGACGTGCGTGCTTGGTGTCCAGGCCGAGGCTTTGCCGCACTTGAATGTTCGTCTCGTAGTCACCCGGAAGAAAGTGGTCTGAACACAAATGACCCACACGGTCGCCGATGTCGTCCGGACCGTCACGGTCAATGGCTCGAAGCCACAGGGCTCTTCGGTGTTGCTCGCGCGGCAGGTTATGGAACCGTACGTTGGGCGCACTACGGTACGTCGTGCTGCAGTTTCTCACGAGACACATGGTCGGCATGGTGAGCGCTGAAACGCGCACACAACGCGCACGAACAACGAGGAGCGCAAACCGCAACCTAAAGTGCTAAAGTTGCCGCGGGCAGTAGCATGCGCAGCGCATCCCGCCGGACGAGCAGCCGACAAACCCGGGCGTTGCCATGGCTACCAAGCGACGGAAGACTCGGATGCGTTTGAAACCGAAACTCAATCGGAATCACGTGATGCAGTATCGTGTAAATAATATAAGAGCGTCAATAAATGATTATTTATTTTTATCCTTTTCAATTTGTTATGCGAACAATAAATAAAGTTTAATATCTGTTCCACTTTATATATCACTTATGATGACGTTTTGTTGCCTCTGGTTCCCACACCGTGTCGTATGGTCGTTTCAGAATCGCCGAAACTTGTGATTTTTAAATGCGGTTTGTAAATTCCAGACACAATATTTGGCCGCAAAACTTAGAAAACAACAGCTTTGGGCTTTAATGAATATAAGAAAATTAAGATGAGGTCAATACATTTTTGTTTCATGACCCCTTTAATATTTTGCTCCAAAGTCATGTATATATATAATAAAACCAAAAACGCAACTGCTTGATACCAAAACCTGCGCATGAAGATCAGAGAAATATAGAGGAGAGAATGAGTGCCGGAAGCCATGCGACTACACCCAACCGTGCGCATTTTTTTTTCTCCAGTTTTTTTTTGGGGGGGTTTTGCGCAGCAGACGACATGCGTTGCGGGAACTGGTTGCCGTGAGATAGCTTTGCAGTTACGTTTGTTCCACTCGCTGTTCTGCACTTCAAGATGAGTTGTTTTGTACATTGAAGAGTCAGAAATGAGCATTGAGTGCCCGTGGTGAATGCCCGTGATCGGCATCCGAAACGAATGTTCCAAGATTTTGCGTGAAGAGCTGCCCCACAGGTTTTGCAACGTAAAGTGGCATTGTGTGGCAGTCTGCAGAAGTTTCCAAAAGATCAACGAGATTGGAACCAATGTCTGGCTGCAATTTCTGCAGAACAGTTACGGGACGGGCACCACGGAAAGTGGACGCTACCTAATAGACATTGCTAAATTACCCAAGCATCAAGGAGAATGGAGAGATTGGTGTTCCGTGCACCATACGCACATGCCTTCCCGGTATAAAAGATTTGAAGCAAATAACCCAAATAAAGCATTGAAAAACACACTTGCAAGATGCAATTTGTTTTAAGCATTTGCTACCGCTGAGGCCAGCACGTGCGGCGCGTGAACACCAATCCCTGCATTCTCCTTGATGCTTGGGTAATTTAGCAACAGGTCTATTTATATGCTCATTGCATTTTGTGTACATTGAGTTTGCAGGTGTCAAAAAGGGAACCAATCCCATATCAGTTGGTTCAAAGACGTTTCGTCCACAACATCAGTTTTTTTGTTTTTCTTTTTAGTAATAATTAGAAAAAAATTATGTGTAAATATCGCAAAATGTTTTTGTTTTTTCATGTTTTTTTTTTTTAATTAAACAGCAAACAGTACACTTACACTCTGGATCAAAGCTGGGTCTGCTGCATGTGAAGCGGACACCTTTCTACTGAGCTGCTGGGGGAACTCTTTTGTTCGTAGTAATGCAGTCAGTCGACTGTAGGCTGGAGAGCGCTGCTGATTTCCCTCCAGCAAAGGGATTTCATAGGCTCGAAGTCGGACAGCACCACGCATTGGCCACAATCGCACCTAGCAAAGAAATCGTATGCATACATATTCAAATCGAAATACGCACTTCGTGCTTGACGTTTGTACGAGCAATGTCTTCAGCCACGAGAAGGGGCGACGGCTTGGCGATATCTTTGTGCAAATCGGCTTGGCACTTGGGCGTGTCGTACGAAATGAATCCCAATTATTTTGAACAGTCCAAAATTTCTCTTTCGAAGGAAGACAGATTCGCCGGTACCGCGAATGACAGTTCTGAAGTAGAGGTCCCACGCCCATCGTCCACTGCCATCGCCGTCCAGCCCACGAGCACCACGATACGCGAAACTACACCATGCTGAGAATTACGCAGTGGCACACAGAATGCTTCTGGTTCTCTGTGCAACTCATTTTTTTTGTTCAATCAACGTATTTGCAGTTTTTTAAAGCCACAAAAAAATGGGTTTCATATTTTTATCTATAATTAATATTAAGTATATGCCTTCAGTGGCCCACGACTTTGATTAAATTAGGTAGTTGTGTCTAAACCTTATAAAACGGACCGTGGCCACGAAGAAAAGAATGAACGCGACTCAAACCGGCCAGTTCTACTTGGGCGGTTTTCGGGCAAAAGGAAACCGAATTTTGAGCCGCAAAGTTTGTTCTTGGTAGATGCTCTCTCATATGTCATGTACAACTAAAAACCTTGGCGAGCATAAACACCCTGTAAGTGTCCTTTTAAAAGATGGCATGCACAACACCCAGACTTTCATGCTCATTTGAAACCAGCTCCTTAACCTGTGGCTTGTTATTTCAAAATTACACTTCACAGGACTCTGACTAACTTCAGAGGAACCAACGCAAGGGTTGCCAAGAATGAGCTAAGGCCCCAGAAATCTAGAACGGCCGTCACTTCTAGAACCGAAACGGGTTATTAAGGGGCACTCTACGACAGCAAAACAAGCACGACTGTTTTGAAGTATTGCTTCGATGACATGCCCAACAATTCTCGCACCTTACAGCTGCCAGTTTTTTTTCGCGGCTGTTTTCTTTCACAAGACAGGTGCCTACACTTGTTCCGTCTGTAGTCTCAACAGTAGCTTCGTTCGATTCACCTCCACTCCTGCACCGGTGCAGAAAATAGTAGTGCGGTGCACTTCCGGTAGTATCTCAATACACATACCGGTGTAGACTGTCCTACACTTTTCTGCATCGGTACAAGTGAGGCAGGTAAATCGGACGAAGCTACTGAGCCTGCCTACGTAGTCAAAGTCAGGGTGTCGAACCGGAACCGAACCGAACCGAAAACCGGAACCGAACCGTTATTTTTAGCCGAACCGGAACTGAACCGAACCGAAATCTTCGCCGCCATCTTGGAACTGAACCGGAACCGAACCGAAAAAAAATATAACGGTAACCGGTTCAAAACGGTTCAAGATTTTTTTTTTTGTTAGTACCACAAAATGAATATATGGAAATAAAAAATTGGCAGCTGTATTTCTGTCTTTTTGATCAAATCGTCATATACAGAATTGCAATGTATGATAAATTGTGGGTTTTCGTGGCGCTTTTGTATTGGCAGTATGATTAACCATGTGTCACGTTGTCACGTAACGTCATGGTGTCAATACATACTGTCAAGTAATGTCAGGTGACCCCGTGACGTCACGTGATTCACTGCGTCAAATCGATTTAATTTGAGGAAGTCACTATAGATGCATTAACCTTGTTGACAGCGTGACGTAACATGAGATCACTATTTTGCACCGAGAGTTACGTGACACCGTAATGTAAGCGAATTTAATAATCCCGAGTCGAGTGCTCGGCTTCATGACAATCAGCATTGCAAAACATTCGGGTAACGGCTCATGCAGAAATTAAATATGATAATAGCCCAATTCTAACCATATCTGAAGCTCAGCCCAAGCTTCTGCTTTCCAAACCCTAGCGCATGACTATGATGAACACTGACGGTACATAATTAGCGTCAGCTCACGTGGCCGCTTGGTCTAATTGCAAGTTGAGGAGGGGATGGACAGCTGGCTCTTCTCTTTATTCTTTTCTGCATCTCCTATTGCGCGGAGGGGAAAACTAATGGATGTTTTCGCAAGCTAGCACCGTCAGGAGTTGCTTCTTTACTGTATTTACTGAAAGTACAAAAAAATGTTCGCACCATTGAATTCGATTTTCTCAGCAAGAAGAGATCACAATGACGACCATGCATATAGTGTGATGACGTCACGTGCATACCATATTAAACAGTTCAGCTTTCTGGTGAAATCCGATGTTCGCAACACTAGAAATATATGTCCTAATTGTAAAGTTGTGCAGGATTTATAGCAGTCTCGCGATGATATACGGCAGCCTAGAGAAATGTTAGAGCGCATGACTATTGAAGCATTGTGTTGTAAAGTGAGAGCCCAAAACAAGTGCAGCTAAAACCGAAGATAACATTAGCCTGCGGAGGCAGTACTTCGCGAAGTTTCAAGCTCATGCGAGCTGATGAAATGTGATTTATATTAGGATTTTAAGAATCTTTGTCGGTCCCTCGCGCTATTTATGTAAAATTACAAATTTCATTACATGCATCTTTATGCATCTCTTTTTGCAGTAAGGCGTTCTTTAAGTGATTATTTAGAAGCCTACCATTAATTATCTCTCTCTTTTTGAACATTTCGTGTATTTGCCCTCCGATCTATCATGTGAGCACATAGTTAGGGTTCGGCGTTTTCGGTTTAAACCGATAAAAACCGATAAAAGCACGCCGAATCCATTTTCGGAAATTCGGTTTTAACCGAAAAAGGTCAGTTTTTAGGCTCGGCATTTTCAATTGAAACCGATAAAAATACGTCGCATTCATTTTCTAAAATTCAGTTTTAACCGGAAAAGCTCACTTTGACTTTCAAGTCGTACCGCAGAGCTGTGGCGAAAAAATGGAACGACAGTGTCTATCGAAATGTGCCCGAATTTATGGGGTACACGGATGCCATCACGACGTTTTGGTTTGAATGTGCCGCATCATCGATCCGAACGTGAAGTCTGAAATGCCCCCTGACTCCCCATATACAAGCGTGTTTTTTAACTCGTTGTAAAGAAGACTGACTTGATTCAAGCTCTGCATGTTATGTTGTGCTTCAATACGTCGCACCGTGTCTCTTTTGGTGGTCACAATTGGTTGATGGGCCAATTTTGGCTCAGGCAGCTCTTCATATCCTCAGCCTGCCAGTGTCCAGTGTTAGCGTTGTGAGGGCATTCTCGAAGCTCAGGGTTATATTAACAGGGAAGAAAGAGTGCGGATCAACGAGGAGAACTTGGGAATGTACATGTGTGTGTACTATAATAAGATCACGT